GGCAGAGGTCCCCTTCATGGTCCCCTCCCCCGCCCCTAGTACTTGCCAGCTCAGAGTCAGCCGCAGCTCCCTGCTGCAGCCACCGGGGACTGCCCGAATCATCAAAGCTCTCCGAATCTTTTCCTAAAGATTCAGAGAGCTTTGAATTGATTCGGACTTTTGAATCGGTCCCCTGATTCAGTTCGGATTCGGAGATTTGGCCACTGAATTGGGCCAAATCTCCTCCGAATTGAATCACCACGCAGGGAAGCCACAGAGCTTCCTTATGGTTGGCTTGTAATGAGCCAGAAGATTAAATGGGAGAGGAGTGCGAGCTTTCTTAACCTTGTCCTGTACTTCACAAATGCATCACTCTGTGGAGGTCTCCTGCTCCTTCCCTCAGGTGAGCCGGACCCATCTGAGCAAACCCAATGTGAGTTTAAAAGCGGAACAAATGTAAAGAGCAAGGAACATGTGTCCTGGTATGTAATCGGCAGGGGCTCGGGATGTGCTGGAACATAACTGCCTTGTCATTTAGCACTGTAGGTAGAGAAGCAGGTATTTTTTGCTGCCAGCCCCTGCAGAGGCTCCCTGTTTCATTACAGTGGACACAGCTCTGCTGCTCCTTAGCCATGGCAGTTCTGGGGGGATAAAAAGACCCTCACAAGTATCCATCCCCTTGCATGCATTGTTTCTGTTCAGTGTTCTTTGAGGGAGAAATGGAGAGAAAGAGCTAGTATTTCCAGAGAAGCACCCTTGTGTTCCGTCGATAACGTGCGTCGCTTGGTTTGATTAGATTAGACCAGCGGACAGCAACATTTTGGAGCCACGGGCTGGAACAGCCCAGCTTAGGCCCGAGATGGGCCCACGTTCTGGCTGCCACTGCTTCTCCCTGCTGCTTGGCCTCAGCACAGCTTCTTGCTACCCAGTCCTGGTACTGGTGCAGGCAAAGCCCCCAGCTCCATGGGTTAGATCCAGCTGCAGGCCATGTATTGCCAACCCCTGGATTAGATGGAACAGGCTGCAGTGTTGTCAGCAAACCCATCTCAGTCCAGGGCAGTGCTCTAAGGGAGACCCTGTGTAGTAACACAGGCATTGTAAGTTGGGTGCTAAAGTGGCACGGTCCACCCCAGAAGCAGCTGCACCTCGCTGGCAGTTGAGGGGCATTCAAATTTGCAACGCCCTTGTGTGGATGGAAAAGACTATCTGAATATCATCCAAGAGGCAGCATCATTGCTTCTTATATTCCCAAGTCATAGCTTTATATGAAAGGTAACAGATTTCCAGATGATAAGACCTGGGCAAGGGTTGCATTTCTTTTGATTTACTAAAACAATTGCATTCACTTCCCCACTTCTTATTAAAAGAAATACAAGAGGCAACAGCTGAATCCTTCTTGATTATAGCTCAGTGTATTCATGTGAGTCACTGGAGTTTCTCCAGATTTACATTGGTGTAACAGTGAGATCAGGAGCAGGTCCCTAGAGTTTCCATTTATATTCAGTACTTTTTATCCACTGTGGCATGTACAGTGTTATCATATCCTCAGGCTGTAAGAGAGGAAGGCAAATCACACCAGCGTCTGGCACTTTAATACCCATTGTGACAAGATAACAAACAAACAGCCAACATCAAACCTAACAGCAGCTTCTCTGTGACTATGGAGAACATCCTTCCTCCAGCAAGAGACCTGCTGTGTTGGGGAATTAGCTGTGCACACACACAAATTATGGTCCTGATTCTTGGGCCTGCTGCAGCTCTTTGCACTGGTGTGAGGCTTCAGGTGGTGGGTTGCATCAGGAAGCAACTCTTACAAATCCACTGTGTTGCTAGGTCTCAGCATGTGCTCTGTGGAGAGCAAAAGTCTATTTTTTTTCTTTTGAAGCATATAAAGTGCTGGTGAAGAAAGTCATCCTAGCAGCAATAGTGACTGAAGTCCTCTGTCCACTGAACAAGTACCCTCAGGGCAGCTGTGATACACAAACTTCCCTCCTGCTGA